CAAAATTTCAATGTAAGAATGTCATAGTAATAGAAAAACTGATTTTACAAATATCGATGATCTTAACGAGAGTAGTTTTGTTGTGAAAGTGTCAGATCTTTTCATTTGGTTCTATCTTGAAATCCGAATATTAAATCATCTAATTTACGTGAGCGATCTGTAAGACATACTATCAATTCGAAATTTGAAAATCAGTTTTTCTGTTAACGCAACATTCATTTAAAAATATTCTTTTAATTTAGTTTTTATTAAATCTTCAAATGTTTCTTCACAAGTATCATTAAATAATTCTTTAACTTATATTCATACAATAAGTATTCGACAACCGATAATTTATTTTATTTGGTTCACGTTATGCATCAAGTATAAATAGTGATCAATCCATAGAAAATAGTGCAATACGAGAGTAAAATAGACAAAAAAACGAATTTGATCTATTCTGTTTGTTTTGTTTTCTATTTTAGTTTTTATTGAACTAAAAAATTAGTCTTAAAAAATATATTAATACAAATGAAAGTAATTTTCAAGCTGTTGTACTCGATTTACTTGTTCAATTACTTTTAATTCGTGTTAATTATAGTTAATTAGAAGCTGATGAAATTCGTTGCATTTCAGATCGTTTCGTTTATTTTTAAATAGCATTTTATTTATTGTATTGCTGAATTTCTTGTTATGTTATCACATGATACACTTCATTAAAACAAGTTATTAAAGTACAAGATTTAATAAAACAATACGATTCATTATTAGCAAGTGGACATGAACCTGAAACACATAGTAGGAAGCAAAAAAAAACATTTTCGAGAAAAAGAAATTATCGTTAAAATTCTTTATTTAGCTTTGGCAGCATTAGAACCAGTTTTATATGATTTTTTTCTTGTTCGAGTTATGCGAATAATTAAAATTCCTAAAACTTACGATTGTTAATAGTTATTGTTGATAGTGTCCAAATTGAAGATGATAAATGGAAACGTCTTTCACGACAAATTGTCGATTTACTTCTTGCTCATTTACAATCTCAGGTTATTTTACTTTTAATAGTTTCTGATTTTACGTTACCTTTTTTTTTGTTCAAATAGGATCAATCACTTTTGGATATTTATTCCACACAATTAACACTAGTTGATGTTGTGTCATCAGTTGAATTACGATCAATTGATCCATTTGTTATTGCTTTTCGAGCATTAGTAAATAGAAATGTTCGCCGTTTTTATTTATAAAATTTTCCTGTAGTTTAAAATTTTTTAGAATGTCAATTGTCAATCTACAAATCGATAGTTAATCAATATAAATATAATACTTCGATATCTTGTACAAAATTTAACTGAAGATGCTATATTAACAGAATAGAATGATGTTTTATTATCAGTTAATGGAACACGAGATGAAACTTTTAGTGAGTTAGTATTCGAAATGATTTTATTTATAATTTAACAAGTATTATTCTCGTTTTTGTTTTCAGAGCTCTTCTTCGAATTTTACATGACGTAATATTACGAATTTTAACTAATACTCGACAATTATGCGGTCAATTCAATATGACATTAGTTTCTCTTGCATCCGATTACCTTTATGTACTTATGTATATTATGGACTAACTGAACAGATAAAAACTGGTTTCTATCAAAGTCAAAAGAACTTAAGCTTTCATCGTAATCTATATGATAGTAACATATCACCCATTAATTTGAAGATAAAATTTTCCTACAATTCATTAATTACTAATGAGCTAGCGAAAAACATTTGACTTTAAAATTCCTATGGGTTTATAAGATCTATAATTTTATTGTGGCTAAACAATTTCGAACAATTGTAAATGATTTTCGTCAATTATGAATTCATGATGAAACTGTACATCGTCTTGATACATTTTCATATTTAACTATTTTAAGTGAATGTTTTAAATTATTATGATCATCATTTTATATACCACTATTATTACAACGAACACATTCTGAATATGTCATCATGAATTATATGTTGAACATTTTACATCAATAACAACACATTATTAATTATTATTATTATTTTTTATTTTGAACAAAGTGATACATGTACATATGTACATAATTTATTTGATCTTATCCATCATACATCAATTGCAAGTCATTTATTCGTTTCTGAAGGAATGCATTTAGATGGAAGTGGTCTTCTATTAGTTTTATTAATTGAACAATTTCTTCCATTACCATATATATCTGTATTACGTTTAGCTGAATTAATTGTTTATGATCGTATTGAAACGATATTAACACTTGACCCACAAACACTAAATAAACAATTATTACCTAAATATACACCATGAATTTTATAAATATTATCAATAACAATATCAATCGATATTATTAAAGAAGATTTTAATAATCTTAATTATCCTATGGATATAATAAGAAAAATTTATGAACACATGCTTAAAAATGTAACTTATAAAAAATGATTACCATTTATGATGTCACCGATATGTTTTAGTTTAATTTATCGAAATAAATGTATATGTTGGCGTCCAATGTCGGATTCAGTCCAATCTCGGATTGGCCTAGGCGAATCACGGATGCTTACATTGGACTAGTCCAATATCGGATTGATGCAATTCGGTTCACTAAAATATCAATTACTCTTGAGACAGACGTTGGATTCGAATTATTTTTTTTTAAGTATGTTCGCACGGTGCCGTTTTAAGTATTGCAGGTATTCAGGAAGAAGCCAAATTTAGACTGAAGAACTTTATAACAACTTTTCATAAAAGTTGTTGTTCTATAGAAATTTATTCATAACTCCCAAACTTTTACTTAAATCTTTCCAACAACGATAGTGACAAACAAATTGGCATTGTGTGAACATAATTTCAAAAAGTAATTCGAATCGAACATCTATCTCAAGAGTAATTGATATTTCAGTGAACCGAATTGCATCAATCCGATATTGGACTAGTTCAATGTAAGCATCCGTGATTCGCCTAGGCCAATCCGAGATTGGACTGAATCCGACATTGGACGCCAACATATATATGTATAATGAAAATTTTAACCCAATTAACGAAAGCAATTTTTTTTACTTTGACATTGTTTATGTGCTAATAATAGATGAGACTTTTGAATAATTCAAAATTTCGAAACATATTTTGAAATAGAAAATATGCAGAATTTCAGGTAATGCAAATCATAAAGGAAAGCATTTAGGCTACATTAGTAAAATTCTGAGTCGTGCTATTTGTACTATTACAACTAAAGAAAACGACATCTTTCTAATATTATGAAATGACTAATGAAGAAAATAATCATAAATAGTTTTAAAGATATCTCGTAAGATGTTTTCGATTGTGTTATTTATTTGCAACTCAAAATAATTTTTAGAAATCAGAAATTTCAAGTTTATGAAATATTCTTCTAAACAAATATCATGAACCGATGACTATGGATGCAACAACGATGTTCATCTTATATTCATTTTGAGTTTTTCGATCGAAAGAGATCTATTTCAAAAAAGCAGCTGAGTTTTATAAAATATCATGAAGTCGTTCTCAAACGATAAAATTGCATTCGAGAATTTCGACAAACTTTCTATAGGTTTGAATTCCTGGGCTCTGAAAACGTATTGAGTTTTTTTCTATAGCATAAAGTTTTTAAGATGGTTCTTACAGTAGATGAAAATTGATTTGAGAAAACAAGAAACAATATAAATCTGTTCTTTTTTTTGTCTTCCTAGGACTTTGTATAGTTTATTTCAACAGGTGATATATATGATTTATTACGTTTTATAATATTTATATCAGAAATAATTTATATAAATATATTTCAAAAAAAGTCATTTCTTAGTTGTGAAATATATCAAATAATATCATGTTGTAGGTTATCGAAAACACTTATCAATATTTGAATATGTCTATCAACGACATGGTTTAACTCTATCAAATAAATAAATCAATTATTATAATCATATTTAAGTTTAATTGAACCAGATAGTAGATCATTTATACAATTATTACTTTTATTATTTAACAAGAAAAATTAAGTATATAAATCATATATTTATTGAAATGATTGACGTTGTATAGCTATATTATTTTTTTTGTTTACCAATATTTAATTCATGTATACGTATATCAAGACAATTTTGGATTTTGTTGATTATCAAGAATACAATTTCAAGATATATGGGTTTCATTTTTAGCTTCAATTAATCCACCACAAATCAATCTAATGATGAAAATAAACAAACAACAAATAATTTAAAAAAAGAAGAAACTTTAGAACAAAATGCAACATAATGGTAACACGATAAAAAAACTAGATATTATCTGTTTTTTTTGTCTCTGCTGAGTGTATGGATTTGTGGTGTAACAACATTTTTATTAAACGCACTTCGATTGAAAACATCGATGTCGGAATAAATCTATTTCATTTTTATTAACAGATTGTCCTATGGACAACTTTCATATGATACTATATTAATATCAATTCAAAGTAATAATAAATTACCATTACAAGTTAATGTAAGTTTATATATGTTTTAATAATTGACAAGTAGAGCTTGTATTTTTGTTAATATTGAATATTCAACATAAGTGTATACAGAGCTCTAAGTTAAGAGAAAAGTAAATTCATTGCTAAATTATTAATTTCATCAAACAAAAAACCTAGTGTTTCTCTGACTTTGATTTGATATATAATACATGCAAACTATCTTATTTCATATAGATAAAAGCTTATCTCAATAATTTTAAATATATTCTATCAATCAGAAAATTACAGTATGAACATTTCCTTCGCTGGCATTCACTTTTAAAATATATATTATTTAGAGTTTATTTGGTCGCTTATTTTTTCATCATGGTCTTGATTTAACATCATCTTTACAAATTCTAATTGAAATATATGTAATATGAATTAATAGGTTCATTTATATATCTATCTGATTGATTTACATCATCACAACATGTATCAAATTTATATGATTTATGTGATGAATATTTTCGTATATGGTTTGATGAAGACGATTTAATGATATCCTTAATAAGTTATAATTTATGTAAATCTAATATATTACTTGGACAAACAACAAAAGAATATAATTCATTATATATACATTTAATTGAACATAATTATAAATTAATAACTAAAACTCATGCATATGCATCATGTTTATTTTTACTTGAAAGTCATGAAGTTGATTTACATTCATATGATATTTTATTATCATTAATTAAAGATAATAATTTAATACAAAAAATTATATCAAGTAGTCTTGAAAGACTTTTAATAGTTGGTCAATATCCTAAAAATGATATATGGCGTTTATATGAACGTTCAATAACAATAATACGTCAATCATCATCGTTCAATATTGATTATCTTGTTTGAATACTTACACGTATTTATACATTACTATAACGACGAAATAAAAATACAAATTCATTAAATGATGAACATGTTAATGAAGAAGAAGAAATGATTAATAGTTCATCAATAATATCATCATCAGATAATACTCTTATTGCACTTGTTGCAGAATTATATGAACGTACTAAACAATCATCAACATTACCATATGAAGCTTTACCTTTATTACGTCCATTACCATTATTACCTGGACACATTGGTTTATCGGATCGTTTAATGAATAAAATGGTTTTAGAATTTGCTGCATCAACACAATAGTTATATCCTTAAATACTTGCATATACAGTCTTTGCTTTTTTTCGTGCTTTAATTAATGCACGTTATTCAGCTAAAGTTAATGAATGGACTTTATTATCAATGACAAATATTGCACAAAGAAAATCAATATGTATGGCTATATGATGGTTAATTTGTCTTATGTTAAGTGCATGTCCATCACTTACAATTGCTGATGCATTGTAAGTATTTACTTAAATCACTTATTCTTGCTCATCTTTTTTTCTTTGTTCTTTATATTAATCTTTAAAAAAAAAATTTGTATCGAAATTTCATACTGATGATTTAATAGTGAATTAATATTGCACGAGTTTTTCTGAATTTACTCTTATGAGTAAAATAGAGTGAAGTCGTATTTGGACTGTTGGATGAGCTATTTTTTTTCACCTATAGTTAAATATTCTTCCTCGTTTTCTTTTTAAAAATTATCAAGACTTACACGTACGATTAAAATTTAGTCAAAATGAATTCTCATAGATAATATGGTATATATTTTACTTTTTCAGGTTTTCATTGATGTTATCACGTTTCAGTGCTCGTTTTGAAGAATTAAACAATCATTTATTTCTTATTGCTGGTCAAGAATATTATCTGCAGGTATTATAAAAGAGACAAAAGAAAACCTCCAAATATTATTTGTATCAAAAAAAATCTATTTTACTTATTTTAGTTAACGAATATTGAACAACGACGTCAATTTGAACAAGCATTCATAAATGAATCGAATCCAAAAAAAGTATATGCTGATTTAATTGCACACATTCAAAATACGATCTTATCATCGTCTTGGGTCTGGATGTGGGTGTGTGGGTGTAGATGTTGTTTGCATGTGTTGATGAATCATATACTCTCTCTCATCCATACCCACATCCTCAATAAAGACTAAAAATATCGATTCATAAAATGAAAACATATCAACATGAATTCATTTATCGACTTTTTTACTAGAATCGGTCTCTGTTATAACAATCATATCTAAATTTTCTAAATCAATTAGAATAGATTGTCATTAAATTTTAGCTGTATCTGTATATACTAATACAAAATAGGTTAAGTAAAATATCTCTAGTGAACATTATTGTTGTTTGCAAAAGATAATCAATTTCCACAAAAACCATCAGTGTCATTTAGTTTGGGCATTTGTACTCTAATTTCGGTTTGGCTTGTTGATTTGTATGTTATATTGTGTGTTTTATTATGATTTCAATCATTGATTTAACTAGTAAATAAGTCGGTTACATGTATCCATTAAAGTTAGAATAGGAACAGTTCACCTTTTTTTATGTTGATCCCATAACGACTACATACTATTTAACGTATTCACGAAAATATTTCAGCAATTAAAGTTTCATGGAAGGTTTTAATATGTTTTAGAATAGTCTATATCTGGTTGATGATGTCATTCAGTACCTTTTCTGTTACCATTCTTCCTCCTTTTACTAGGAAAACCATGCTCATTGGTCTCTGATCTTTAAACCATGTCGCTGGAGTCTAAGAGGAAGCTACACAAATCTAGATTAAAACTTGCATTTATAACCAGTACTTTTAATAATATCAAGAAGAGTGTGGATATAGATGTTGATATTCTATTTAACCACACCCACGTTCTCTTTCAATTATTTAATTTGTAAACTCGTACTCTGTTCTTTGATTTAGTAAATTACTAGTAAAAGCACCGACCATATTTCATCCTACTGCACTGTTTTCTGAAAATCCATTGAAAATGATAAATTCAAAAAGTCTTGCACTACAATCGTTTCTTTTTATTCAAACAACAATTCTTTTTTCTTGTTTTATTATTCGTACTTTTTATTATTCTGTTCTCAATACAAAAGAAATTCATAATAAAGAAAAAAAATTGAATATTTTAATGTAAAAAAAAATTCATCATTATTTTTAGTCAATAATATCATGTCGTTAAAGAATACATCGTTACTAATCACAAAATTTAGGACTTCAAATTTGGATATAATGCAAAAGTAAAGTGTAAATCATCATCAGCAAGTGTAGGCATGACATTTGTTTTTATGAACAGAAAGTAAATTACAGGGTGTGGGTGTGGATGTCGGTATATGTATGTGGATAGAAGAACAGCACCCACACCCTCATACTCACATTGCCCACACCCAAAACAAGTGCTAGAAAACAAAAAATGTCTTTATTGTTTGTAGTCATTACGAGCTCTTTGCCAGCTCAGTGCGTGAGCTATACAACAATTAATGATGGAACCCGCAATGCTGCCTATAGTGGATCTAGTAGTTTTGACTGCAGCATATTCACATCTTCAGCAGTGTGAGTTCGATTTACAGGCGCAGCTGATACACAGCTTGCCTATTCTCCAATTGTGAGTAATTATTACGGTAAGGGTGCAACAGATTGGTATGTTAGCATTTGCCATCGTCAATCGATACCACTATGAGCGAAACTGTTTGCTATTATTGGTCAAGTAACACCTGCAGCTGGCCGAGTTCGATCTCGGTAACCAATCATAGTGGATATTTTGTCTACGCACTGATTGTACCAGCAATATGCAACGCTGGATACTGCGCTATTTAAGTGGACATTTATTAGAAACTGCTAAACTGATCAACCAAGTCATTTCCCCTCCTTTCCAATTCTACAATCCTACCTAATACCTGAAGCTAACAAATAAATCTATGAAAACTATCAAAGAGAAGTAATTATCTTCTTGACAAGTTTCATGCGATTTTTGTGAACATTTCTTTTGAGAATCTGAATAGTCAGTAATTCTTAGCAATTCTGTCATAAATATTCTTGCCAGAAGTTGCTGGATGGCCACCTTACCCATATAGGGTGTGGGTGTCGGTGAGACCGTGGTTTTGATAGAACAACGCACCGTACACTACAAACTCACACCCACACCCTTTTTTTGCATAGCCGAACTCATTCAGCTCATTGAGTGTCAGTCAGCTGATTGGATATCCAGCGAGCAGTAAACTTTTTAGCTTCAACTGAATAAAAATAATTCGCATAATACTACCCTAACTGGAAACAATTATCATTTGAGTGTCATCAATATTCTCATATTTTGACTTGGTTACATGGTATAGTTCATCTTTGATATGTACTTGATCTTGACGAAACTATTTTACGACCATATTGTAAGCTGGAGCTTCGCCATGACAAACAGAATATAGTTCATCATGAATCAATTTTCAGTTGGAATATTAAGAACACTGCGCACTTTAATATGAGTGTAGGTGTGGATAAAGAGTCAACATGTACACCCACCCTTTATTATTTTTTTGTTGCAAATGAGAAATGTAATAAAATTCAATCAGTTATAATAAACTAAAGTGCATTATTAACACTGTCACCAAGCACTGTTCATACTTTATTGGAAGGACACTTTTTTTCAAGGATGAAAAGTCATACACTTTTCATAAAGGATATTCTAGATTGCTACCGACAAAATGACTGGGATAAATACAGTGATTCTGAATCTTTGAAATATTATGTTACTTGCCAAAACTTTGCTTACACTCCAAAAACAAGATACCACGTATTTACAGAAGTGTTGATGGGGGTTTAAGTTGATCATATTCTTCTTTCACAACCTCATCCATATTCTTTTTTTTTTACAACTTATCAATTTTAGTCGCGTGTTTAAAAACAATTCTTTTTATTAACTATTAGTAATCAAATACTTGAATAGATATTGAATAAAGTTTATCGTTGTTAACCGTTGCGTATGTTGGCACGATGCTGACCGTCTCACAACATACAAAAATGAATATTACCTTTGCAGTTTATTCGAAATGACGTTCTTGAAGTGAATATGTATTTTTTCTTTAGTTGCATTCATTCATCGTTTGCTTCTTATGCTAAATGTTGTACTTTTGATAAGTGAAATAGTTTTCAACAAAATTCTTAAGTGAAAGATATTCAAATAATAGAAACACAGAGAACAATAGGTAGATAAGAAAGGTAAAACTTTACTATCTTCGAAAAGTAACAAACGAATGATTCGACAAAAAAAGCAGACAATGTTATATATATATAAAATACAACTTAAAATCAGCAGCAATGTGTCACTGAAATTTTCACGACGATTTTAGCTAAAACTTATTTTATTGTAGTAAGTAATTTATTAGGATGATTTTAAAAGTCGTATTTATAGTATCAATATGATCTTAATATTGAGAATCATTGTGTCCGTTATAAAAGCGATACTGATGATCAACATCACTTTAGTTGATTGACTTATCTAAGCATAACTGTTAGTAATTCAGTGGATTAACTTTTTCACATCTATCTTCTACGCATTTACTGTATATATTCATATTTGTTTCGATTTCATCCTTAGAATTGATGATTTGATCGTGATTTACTAGTTGGATTAATTCTGAGATAATGGCGCGCTGAAATTATCCAAAAAAAGGTGGTTTTGCCTAATTTTTCTCGGTTTTTATTATTTCTAATTTATACTCTATTAAAACACACTCTGATAGTCGCATTACGTAAGGACTAATATCAGTTTGATATGTAAGAGATCTTCTCCAGATGGCAATAACAATCATGGAACTAGTCATGCTATATATTGGAGAAATGAAATAGAATATTGCGTCATATGTATACATAGAAGCAAATGTATATCAACTTCAATAGTGTATTAAGAAAAGCTTTTCGTGGGATGCACTAAGCAAAGACTCAGAGAGAATTTTAAATATAAACATCAGTTGGTGTTGCATTTTTTCTAAAACACTTTGATTTTTATTGATTTATAGAACTTAAAAAATGACCTCCTTTTCTTCACTCTTAAAGACAAGAAAAGCAGTCTTTTCATGTAACATCATACTATGCAGTGTTGGATAGCGCCTGTAATTAAATTAGAGGATTAGCATTTAATACATATTTAGTACGAATCATCAGGAGATAACATACTATCTAATTCTATAAATACATTTTTAATCATTCTTTTTAAAAAAATGCTTACATTACAGTCTGGTGAGAGAAAAATAAAGTGATTAACTTCATTGTTCAACCGTTCTTGTCGTCATGAGATTGTCGAGAAATTGCTATTAATTGACATCTTTTTTGTCGAAATCACAATTAAGCATGGATTTTTCAAACTTTACAATCAGTCATCCAACCTGAGGTAATTTTCAGAACATTGATCGTTTCTTTTCTTTTTCACTTGTTATTCATGGTCGTTGATTGTTCGATAAAAAGAAGACAAACTAACATTATAATGCAAATCGAAATTCGACGTCAAACAAATAAAAAAAGAGGCATGAGTGTGGATCCTGATGTTTTGATTAACTCGTACTATAGTACTTTTCGTTTAAAATAACAATTACTTGCGGATTACTTATTGATTTGTTAGAAATGACACATTCATTGGGTATTACATGTGTAAGTACTTGCTAAAATACTTAAAACAAGTAACTGAACTAGATTAGCAAAGCGTATTCGTTGACGGTTGCTTTTTGCATTCTTCAAACGCGTGTTTTCACCTTGGATTTTCAAAGCAGTACTATATAAAAAGTAAAAGAGGATTTCTTCATACTTCAACCATTAGAAAGAAAAGAAAAATATGCGTCAACATCACATGCCAGGTTTTGTATGTCTACCGAGTTGCTATCGTAACAAATTTTTCTTTCTTTTCTTGAGAACGTAACGTTGAAAAGTAAAAGAATTTTTTTTTGCGCCCAACATTTTAAACTATTGGTCAATTCATAAAGAACAATTGCTATTCTTCTATAACAGCACGTTTGCATATGTTTTTTCTGTTCGCCTTTCTCAGTAAGTAGAGATTCAAACCACAGTTAAGTCATCTACAAGACAATACACACGAAAAATCGATCAGTTTTCTAATATTGATCTTGAGAATAATTTCTGTCATGTGCTGAATATTCAAACTATGGATTTTTTTAACATAAAGAAACGTTGAAGCAAGCATCACCATTTATCGATGCACTGCATTGTTCTATAAATTCAATCGAAAAATATTTTAATCAATGTAATGCATATCGAGAGAGGAAGTAATTGATTTTCACCTATTATTTTAACCAAGCACTTTTTATTTGTAGTAAATTAAGCAAGCCCTATAGTATAGATTTCCAATAAGGTTTTCACACTTAGATCCTCCTTCTCCAGGGAGAAAAAAAACTAGGTTTACATTTTCATAAGTTGATAGCACAAAGTTCGCACTTGACATGATCAAATAGTATTAGAATATGGTTCTGTCCTCTGATATGACCTCTTCGAACGACAGATACCACGTAATTTTGTTATGATATTTAAACTTTTCCTGTTTCGTTTGTTCCTAGCACGCGGCACAGTTATTTTTAGTTATATGGAGATAGAAAATAGTCAGCTACTTGTTAGGAACTAATCGGAAAAATGAAACTACTCTAATTTTTCCTTTCCTCCAGACGCAGTAAAAGACTATTGATCTACTGGTGACTTGTCAAACGTCACCAAGTCTACATAACATTGCATATATACTAATCTATGTGTAATTATTAATGAGAACGTTTCTTTTCTGTATGGTTTCTCTTGAATGTTAATTATAAATCAATGAACTGGTGTATTTTTATTCATTAGTTTACATATAAAGGATAAAGATGTTACTATGTAAGAGCAAAAATACTTGAGTTTATTATTGGTATAATTTCAGCATTGACTCAGAAAAAAAATTCTTCACGATTACTTAGACGGCGAATTTAGCAGACTGTAACAGACACCTATATTAGCTCATTCTAATGAGATCTGTTGTTTTAAGTTTATTAAGTTATTTTCTGATTGATATATTTTGTAGTATATCTTTTTCATTTTAGTCGACGTACTAATTATAGAAAATTTTGCATTGTTTTGATAAGTGATTGCCTACCATATATAATGGAAACAGAAAATCAACTCAGCAGTACACTTACGCAAAAATATCATACGTGTGATACACTGATCTGCCATACTTGCTTGTTTTTCAACAATAAAGATACAAGTTTCGCTTCAATTGATGCAGTTGCCAAAAATTTAGCAATACAGGCTAGTATGATTTTGATTTAAATGGTATTTAATCAAAAATTTACTTTATTTGTATTTAGATTGAAGCTGGTTTTCGAAACATCCAATCATCAATAAACGATGAAATGAATCAAACGAAAAAGCTGATTAGTGAAGTGCATCGTACTCATGAAACTGACACAATCAAAATTCATGAAGCATTCGCATCATTGCGCCAAATAATTAATGAGCGTGAAGCGAAGTTGAAAGAGAATATTTCGGTGACTGAAACCAATGATACTAGACAGTTGGAAGACTATCAAACTCGTCTATATAACATGCAAAACTCCCTTGATATTCAACAAGCTAAATTTTATAAAATTGTATCAAAAAGAGAACATATACGGCTCCTACAAACAGAGTATGGACCAGTTGACTATCTAAATAAAATTCACAAAGAACTGCGTAAACTAAAAGTTCCCGCAAGAACTCAATATTATATTGAGGGATTGGAAAAATTGACTCAAATCAAAGAAGAAATTCTCCAATGTGGACGAGTCGAACAACAGATCAACAATTCTTTATCATATGAAAAACCATCGCTTGACAAGAGAATGGCTGATCAAAAAGGTTCACAAAAACTTGATTTGAGTGATGAACACTTAAATGACCAAGATATGACGCTTTTGGCCAAAAGATATCACGAAATCACGGTTAGAAATCATTCTAATTCTTAACATCATCCTCGTATATCTTTATTATGTTGAAAACTATCATGAGAGCTAAGTCTTCTCCATCAAATAGTATGTTGCATTGAGGAGAATGTTCAACACTTTAAGATTAACCAACAACTTGAATTTAAAGGAATTTATCTCTCTATATGAGCTGAAAAGCAATAGACTCTAGCCTTTGAAAGAACTGGCAAATGCAATACTCAGGATTTTATACTCTGGCAGAACTATATCGAAAAACAGAATTCATCTTAGTCATTTTTTTCACGAACGACAGTACATGATTTGTGATCAAAATTACACGTTGTTAGAAGGATATAACTAGTGAATTACATTCTAGGGTGGTTAAGCATTTGATTCTTTGTGGAGCATATTTTAAAAAAAAAACATTTCATGTAGGCATTCACTGAAATCAATCTCTCAAACAATCAAATCAGCAGCAAAGGAATAAAATGTCTTGTTGATATATTACAAAACGCCAAAGTAATAAAAAATTTTCTCCTTATTTTGTTACATTTCTAACCTTAATCATATGAATACTTTTAGGAATTATCTGTATTACTTCTTGGCAATAATCGAATTGGACTTAATGGTACTCAGTATCTGTCTCATGCATTGGAAAAAAATCAGGTAACAAAAGTTTCTCAATGTATTTCTTTTACATTACTATTGATTATTCAACATAGACACTTACTATACTTGGTCTACAGTCAAATCAAATTGGTGATAAAGGAATAAAACATATTGTTACTATAATGAACACAACTATAGTAAAATGGTTTTATTATTTTTAAATTTTTTCTTGGCATCATTTATGTATAGCCTCTAGAAGAATTATATTTACAACAAAACCTTATTGGTAATAAGGGAATTAAAGATTTAGCCGATAACTTGAAGGAAAATACAGTAAGCTACTTTTCTTCTCTTTTTCTAGTTTTGATTGTTATTAAATATTGCATATAGATACTGACTACTCTGAATCTTTCTTGGAATAGAATTGGAGATGAAGGAGCAGAACATATCGCTAATGCATTGCGAGAAAACAAGGTGAGTTAAATGTATTTTTCATCTATCGTATTCAAATGAGTGTTTGTTATTAAACATAGACACTTGTTACACTGGATCTTCAACAAAACTACATTGGTTGTTTAGGTGCAAGTCATATCGCTGATGCATTAAGAATTAATACGGTGATTCGAATTTTCGACGTTTACTTGATTGGTTTTCATAGTATTCATTCATTATAGACACTAACTACACTTTCTCTTCAACAAAATCATATCGGACCTAAAGGTGCAAAATATTTGGCTGATGCTTTGCATGACAACACAGTAAGAGCGATTGTTTTTCTTTTTTTTATTTCCTACGCACATTTATTATTCTTCGCAGACATTAACCATCTTATCTCTTTCGGGTAACCGATTCGGGTCAAAAGGTGTACGCGATCTTACTAACACACTCGATGCAAATACATCATTGACGAACGTTCTTGTGAATGGTGCGAATCTTTGCTGGAAACGGCAAACATCTAATATAAATGTCAATTGAATGAAAATGAACTGAATTTTTGAAAGAAAACATAACAATCATCATTCTCACATTTCTTTTTGTTTCTAATGATATTTAGCTGTAGATTATGTGCTAATGTATGCATCTGTATTGTATTTGTCGAGATAAATCTATTAGATCATTTTTGTTAGCAACGTCTAAAATCATTAAGACTACTATATTTAACTGCTATGTCAATACTTGCAGTTCTTGTGATATTGAAGAAAAAACTAATACTTAAACTTTGTCTCGCATATGTAAGAACGAGAATGGAATTGTTTGTCCCACTGCTTTACAGAAGCCATCTGCTGGAACATCTATCAGTCTTCATTAATGCAATTTCAGAGTCGAAGAAATTCTCATCGCTGGTTAGTAAAGTGGCCATCAAGAAAATTCACATAAGCTGTGCTTATTTTTGGACATATCGATCAATAATGTTATGCAATAAACTAATTTATTTTTGAAATGTCTGTTTAGCAGCGTGCATAGGTGAAAATAACAGGCTTATTCACATTCGCTTTCACATTCATTGACGTTGCATCCTTTTGGTATTGTAAAAGAATCACACAGAGATTGTGCAGACCGATTTTTTTATCCATGTTTATTCTTCTTGAAATTTTACGAGCTCTATTTATGATATGTACAATATAAATATGTTAATCTGTGAAGTTTTATTGAGTTATTTTCCAACTCAAAAAATTAACAATTTTTGTTAGTTCATGTATTCCCTGTGATATAATAATAGCTATCTGCTCTTGAAATTTAATACTGGAAAAATGTTAACTGTTCTTTTGCTTGTTCATAAAAATATGTTCGAAAATAATATTCCGATGTCATGGTAGGAAAAAATCATTGCGCAAGTATGTGCTATACTTTCTTAATACAAAAGAAAATTAAGTAGAAGAAAATTATTTCATCGCGTGGCGCTTAATTAGAAACAAATCCTGCTCAAGTGTAATTTTGCCTGTGGCGCATTTAAACTTCAACAAATCAAAATTATTGACGATTTCAATAAGTAAATTTAAGTGTAAATTCTTATTGTTGGTAAGTAAAACTTAGGGGTCATGTTTCACTTGTTGTATAATCTGTAACTTTTGAATTGCTCAAAATCATAATTCGCAACTTAGAATACATGTACGTAAAAAGTATTCTTTTCGCTACGCAAAGTACTCATATGTGAAAGTCGTTGGTTAATAAAGCTCATATTCAGTTATTCATCATCTGTTCTTTCTTATCAAACTTTGTTCTGAGAACTATTACAGTATAAACATAAATATATAAATATATTCACTAAAAACTGTATAAAATTGTCATTCATGACCGCATGGTTACAGAAATGATTCTTTCAATTTTTATTGATGTTTTCGACACTGAAGAGTAGATGACAGTCCACAATCAGTGGCAAGCGTCCTTATTGAGTGCCATATCTGACTACTCAGTTTTCTGCACGACACATGCATAATATAATACAATAGTTCAATTACATTAAATCCATCAGATCTGCATTTAAAACGGTACAGTATGACTAGAATTCATAGGTGGATAAGACTTAAATCTTGTAGTCTCGATTCAGGCAAATTCTTCCTGTTCATTGAAGATTACAGTAATATTTTCGAGCAAAAAAAAAGCTTGAAAAACGAAGCTGTGTTGTATGATTATATAGCCGAGATTGAAAAAAAAAACACTTTAGTAGAAAATAAAATATGTATTTTCGATTAGGTTTAGTAATAAAGAGAAATGTGAGAAAAATCAGTTAGCTATTCTACTTCACACAGTTTCTGGTCAATTGATGACAATTTTTTTTTATGTAATACCATGGGCGCATAATACTATCTATTCTTATATAGGAAATAATAGTAGTAGTACCTAAAGGACAGAAACACACTTGCTGAACGGATGAATTATACCATCTTCAAACAATGGTAATCATATGGCGATTAAGTGACTACTATATGACGAACAAGTATTGATCTCCAATAACATAAAAATAGATGATAAAGAGAGGATCTACATAATTAAGCATTTTTAGCAAATTTTAGGATTTATTCAATTATTTTACAATTATGACTTCCAAAAAGATTTAGTTCACATATCACTCTATAGAGAAGATGAACAGTTTCAAACAACGTTATTTTGAATATATTTAAAGCTATACTCAGTTAACTAGGCATAGAATATTCAAAAAACGAGCTTGTCTAAGAGTGTCTATGTTAGTTGGTGGGTGAAGAGGAGATCCTTACTCATCCGTAAATTTTTAGGACTATCTGTGAATCAAAGGAAAACAAAAGAACATGAGATAAGTTTGAAGGCATAGCCTGTTACATATTCAATGAATTTTTTAAAAGAATTGATATGATAAGCTTCATCTAATAAAAAATTGACGTCATCGCACTGAACGTCAATACTCCATCATCTTCCAGAGATTTTTTTTTACGCAACAAGAAAACAGATTACAAATACTATATAGAATCAACTAAAAATGACCACAACTCGTGAAAAAAGAAACTTTTTTCCACTACGAATATTGCACAAATAAGTTGCAAGTTGAGATAACTAAAAAATGCCTTTTATAAAAGCTTCCGTGATGAATATATATATATAAAAGAGTAAGAAAAGCATATAATTCATTTTTCATTCGTTTCAGCTTTTACTTGTCGGTTAATAGCAAGAATTTCAACAAGTATTCAATTATGAAATTACTTCTTCTCGCTCTCATCTATTTGCTTAGTAAGTTTTAACTTTAGAATAAATATTGAACATGTATTTAATGATAAAATTCTTCTAGACATTTGGTTTACTGAAACCTATCAATGCTATCAGTGTGATAGTGTTAATGAACCGGGCTGCAGTGATCCTTTTAAAAAGGGACAAGCTGCAGACGAATGGAAAGTCACAATAAAACCTAACGAACGATGTCTAGTACGTATTTTCATTTCTTACTATACAGACTAATGATATTTTTCAAAGAAAGCCACACTCTTAAGTGGAACCATCAGTCGAGCCTTCGCTAATGTCACCCAATGTATACAAGGTGAAAACAAATGTCTAACAGCGGATGCGCCGATAGTTGGAAAAATATCGACATGTTGTTGTAATTCAGACTTGTGCAATGGTGTATCATCTGTCCAACAGCAATGTTTCGTTGTTTTTGGTATCATTAGTACACTCATCATACTCATCTACCATCGTTTTTAGGACAACAAACACGAAACTTTGGTTAAAACCTTTCTTTTAGGACTTTGTTTTTCATCAATAAACAAACTTATTCTTTGTCAGAAACCATGAATGTTATCATTCCATGTTATGCTCATTTGTTAAATTTATATATTGAATCGTAATCAAAGTTGATTAAAAGTTGTTCTGATGACAGATCAGTCTAACTTAAAACTTAGTGAATATCATTGTGACTAACATCATAGTTAAATTTACTTAAAACTTAAATGTGCACAAGTTTCACTACAGTATAATTTAAGACGGAGACAAATACTCCGTATAAGTATATACATATGTCTGCAGATATCTAGCCTAATTAAATATTCTTTCGTGGTATTTATAACTTCATGTTGTAGTTCTTAGACAAATGTTCAAAATGATGCACTGTTTTTTTAGAAAACATTGTAGAGCAAAGGGTATGAGAGAATAAAGTTCGTGAAAAAAAAAGAACTATATAATTACTCTGGAAAAAGGCCTTTCCTCGAATCGACAAGATTATATTCAGTGTCTGCTTCCGCTGCTATCTAACGACCACCACCGTGTCGTCTTATTAGGCGTGGTGAACATCTCCGATCTCCACACATAGTATAATCAATGAAAAATATCACAGATAACTCAGTTATTCATCACAAAAGAAAAAACATATTCTCCTAAATTTTTTCATAATTGCAGTTGATTTGGTTTTTGTTTTAGTATTATGAATATTTATAACCTTAAAATTTTTTAAGAGTGTTTCATCATTTTTGAGCTCATAATTTCAGCATATAGAGAAAACGTCTATACTAGATGATCTCAAAATCATTGGAGTCTATAGGCCTTATCTACAGAATTACAAGTTTCGCTGTTGTTTTTAACGTCGTAGAGAACATGGTCTGAACAATGCAAGCGATGTCTTCTGTTCTGAAATCTTGTCTACATGTAGATTTAATTATCCTAAAAATATCCTAAAAAGTTTTAATCAAAACGAGGACTTCCAATTTTGATATATTCAGCATTCAAAACTCACGATTTCTCTAATCAACTACGGAGACTGGTCAGTTTTTCCACGTTGTATATCTTAAAAAGGAAGTTTAGGCCTTTGACTAAAACTTTTTAGGATATTGTTAGGAGGATACCACATGCATAAAGAAAAAAATGTCAAGTTACAAACCATTTGTTGAATTTTTCTGGGAATACTCTATCGGTTGATAAAAATCCATAAAAGTCACAACTCTGTAAAGAAAGTCTATGAAATCGGGTTCTTTTATAGTTTTCTCATCCAGAAGTTGTCTCTATATGCTCAAAATGTAAATTGAAAAGCGATGAATCACTTGGAAGAATTCACTCATTAGTATGGCTATTGAAGATTTATTTAGAGGGTGTTTAACTAGTTTTAGTAATAAAGTGGCTTCAATTTTATGTAAGCTATTATGTGTTGGCTATAATATTGACGCTCATAGAATATTCTTTTTTATATACAACATATATAGTAGAGTAACGAAGAAACAAGAATTATTTAGTGCTTATGAACAAAACTGTCATTCAAAAATCAGAATTATTCAGAAATTTTACATGTGTACATTTATCTTAATTGATCGACAATCTTTAGTGAATACAGAACGACTTAGATACAAAGTCTTTAATTTTCAACTTTATTTTAGAAAGAACACATTTCATACACGATAGAATAAGGAAAAGCTATAGAATTCAAACATCAAAGAAGAACAAGTGTTAAATAAACAAAGATCGGTATCGAGTAAAATACAAGTACAGATGTGACACATAACTTGTGAAACATAATCTAAAAG